CCGATCTGATGTATTGGGTAGGTTTGATCATTGAGCAAGTGGTTTGGACCCAATGGCAAGAGCAGAGCCAAAAGCTGATGCTTCGCGTGTGGGTTGTACCGTGTGTGTGTGTGTGACGTGTTGTGTTGTTTGTGTGGTGTGGTGTGGTGTGGTGTGTGTGTGTGTGCACGCATGTGTGCGCGCATGTGTGCGTGTGCGCGCGTGCCTTTGTGTGCCTTTGTGTGGTTGTTTGTTGGTTGGTTGGTTGGTTGGATGGATGGTTGGTTGCTTGGTTGCTTGGTTACTTGGTGGCTTGGTTGCTTGGTTGCTTAGTTGCTTGGTTGCTTGGTTGCTTGGTTGCTCGGTTGGCTGGTGGTCGGTTGATTTGTTTGTTGGTTTGTTGGTTTGTTGGTTTGTTTGCTTGTTTGTATTGCTTGCGTGTGTTGGTATTGGTGCTCGTGCTGTCTTTGTGTGTGTGTGTGTGTGAGTGTGTGTGTGTGTGTGTGCACGCACGACCAGTTGACACTTTATTTCCATAATATCATTGACTTTCTTCTGCAGCTGTCGCTGCCAGACTTTCTATCCCTTTGTGAAGACTTTGTGTTAAACTATTGGTAATCCTTGCTGATTCTTGCGGCAGTCTTTTTGGATGTCTTATTTTGGTTTGGGTGACAATCAAACAAACACACGAACGAAGAAACTAACAAACAAACCAAGCAAGCAACCAAGCAAGCAACCAACCAACCAACCAACCAACCAACCAACCAACCAACCAACCAACCAACAAACCAACAAACCAACAAACCAACAAACCAACAAACCAACAAACCAACAAACCAACAAACCAACAAACCAACAAACCAACACACCAACACACCAACACACCAACCAACAAACCCAGCTTTCCATGCACAAGGCTGAGTATTCTCCTTGGGCCTTAGGGCAAGACAAGGCGTTTTTGGTGCACGTGGCCAGGTGCACTGCCAGTGAAGTCCGTTGAGGCAAGTCGCCCGAGCTGATGCCTGGCCCTCCAAATGTCCAGATGTGTCGTCAAATGACTGGGGGTGGTAGGGATGTGGTCATGAACCCTTTACACCTTTAGTCGGGAATTTTAGACAACCATGATAAAAATTCCGGTTTCGGGAGCCATGACCGTGCCACGAACATGCTTGATGAACCCTTTACCCCTTTACCCTTGCTCCCACTAGCATAGCACCTGTGGGAGGGTGCCTGGAAGATGATTTTCTTCTTGGGTACCCTGTGTCAGGCCCCATGTTAGTGGGAGTACGGGAATTTCAGACAACCATGATAAGGATTCCGAATTTTGGAGAACCATGACCGTGGCTTGTATGCTTGCTGGTGAAAATGCCATTGGCCTGCTGGTGGCATTGATCCTCAATATCAGGATCGCATTTAAGAAGTGACAGGTCAAGCAAGAGCCAGAAGGTGAAGTTGACCTCAACCGAGTCTCCGCAAAGCAGGCAGGGCCTTCATATTGACTTCATCGATCCTGTTTGCGCTGTTTGCACCCGTGCGTGACACCGGCATACAACAGCCAGGATCCAAGCCAGCTAGCGTGAATGCCAGCATTTGCTCGGTGCAGGGACGCCAGCTTCGCGCATCCCTCGAGGAGGATCGGGCTGAGGTTGCCCAAACCACGGCGAACAGTTTCAGAGCGGTAGCATCACGGCGCAGGCGGCAGAGCACAAATTTAGTCCCGGAGTGTGCACGAGCACCAGAGACAGCTGATTGAAACAGCTCAAAGTTGCTTTTGGCTTACCAGACAGATCTGATGACCAACACGGCCCACAGTGAGTATTGAGCAGGAGACATTGCATTTTTCCAGATGAGTTGGCTCACTGATATTTGCCCCCGGCAATTCCGCATTGGTTTGAGCAGGGATTACCATGCAAACTACAAACGTGGCATAGAGGAGGTATGTATTACAGAGCGATTAGGGGCCACACTGTCAGTGGCCGCTACACTTTGCCGCTTCAAACATGTTGGGCAAATCATAGCGATGTCTAGTGCCCTAAGTGAAATTCATTTGCCTGATGACCTGCTCAACTCTTTAGGACACAGCGATGTCCTTCCTGGATCTCTGCAGCACATCCAGTGCGGAGGTGCGATCGATGGCCGGTGAGTTGCCGCTTTGTTTCCATCTCTCACCCCCCGCATTCTGCCTGCAGACTGGTGCGCTGTGTGGTACGTATTATGCTGTATTGTTCAAGCTATGGGGCAAGCCTTTGCACTAAGGTCCAAGGCTGTCACCATAGTGACACTGCAAGACTACATGTTTTTGACCTGGGGCTCACTCTGTATAGGTTCGCCGAGTCCAGCGGGGCTCAAACCGTTTGAGGCGGCAGCTTGCCGCTTCGTTGACCTGCTGTCGCTCCACATGAGCGGAGCCGTGTCTTTGGAGCAGGCCAGGGGGCCGCCCATATGCACGAAATGTCTGTAAGAGGCTTATGTTGTGCAAGGGTTCCTTACAAAATTGTACAAGGGCAAAGGGGATGCTGCGATGACCCAATGACAACGGGAAAAGTAGAACTCAATCGGGGTTTCCAGCCTTTTTGGGAGGGCTGCAAGGCGGGCAACGCAACCGACGAATTCCTGTGAAGCCAGTCTTGCAATCAGCGTTTTCTATGGCAAGCCACCATGCTTGTTTGGTCGAAGGCATTGACTCTCTGATGATGTGGGCTGCTTCCTGTCAGGAGGAGCCCTACGGGGACATTGCCATTGCCAGGGGAGTGGAGTGGCAGGTGCACCCACTGCTGCTTTCGCAGACTAGATGTGCCATCGTGATGCGGGGCCGTGGGCCGTGGGCATGGTTTCCTTGATAGCCCTCATGGACTATTAGCCCAGCCTCACCAATCCCCACCAAAACAAGTGTTTTTCACTGTGGCACGTGCACCGCAGCGCAGCGGCCCCAAAACATGGCCACGTTGGCCTTGCCGTCAGGAGTGGTGCAAGGACACGCGGGGTATCAAGCCTGGCGCTCAGGGGTGTCGGCTGTCAAGAGGCTCTTTGACATTCGTTCAATTGGCTTCCTCCCTCCAAAGCAACTCCGTGCATTTGGCACAAGGGGACTTGAATTAATCAATGTTGTGGTTGAACATGTTTGTTGCGTTAAACCACTCGCCAAAGAAAAGCAACGCCCCTTTTGCGCAGTTTGTGTTCACAGATCTCGGCCAAGCGCAGGCGTGACGCACGAGGAGGCTGAAGTGCCCAGGTCGGCGGATGTCTGGTTTGGGTTGGGAGATGGAACCTGGCCACCCAGGTTCCCCCCGGCCCCAAACGAAAAAGGGGGCTCGAAAATTGTCCCAACGAAATATCAGGCACAACTTCATTCTGCTTGTGCTGCAGTTTGTTGCTTTCATGTGTGGTAAGCGCTGTTGCAATTTTGGCGCTTTGTGCCCCCCCCCCCCCCCCCAGTGCTTGTGCAGTTTTTCTGCGCAATCGGAGATGGCGTGCTTTCGCCATCATTTTTTCCTGGTTTTCCAGTTACTTGATGAGAAATCCGGAGACCTGCAAAAGGCATGAGAATGGATGGGAAGACCCTTCTAATGTGGAAACAAATTGCTGTGGACTTTTGGCGAAGGTGGGAATGTCAACACATTGCAACAATTCTTCCATTTCTGTGATTTTCCCCTGTTGGTTTTAGAGGGAATCTATGATAATTACTGGACATATTCTAGTTTTTCGTTCAGCAGGCTTAAGCAAATGCATTAATTTCATATGGCTGTTGCTCAAAACAATGGGATGCCATTTTGGGGTAGGTGCACCGCCCATTTTAGAACCTATTTTAGTGGGGATTGGGATGTTCACTGGGGGTACGATTTGGATTTTGCCCCATGGCCATACTGTGGATGGATGAAATTATGCACCACTTTAAACCATGGGAAGCCACTGTTTGTTGGCATTTACAGGGGAATCATCATTCTATGGTTTCTCAGGTGATGCAGGATTTCGTCCATCCACAGTATGAATTCATTGAATTTGTATAACATGTCTGCGAAGTCCTGGGCCAGCCATACACCAAGACAACGACGCATTGAGAAGTCCTCACAGTGCGCGGTTCCGTGAGGCAAAACCAGATGGGTGTGGGTCAAAATCAAACCACAGGGAGTTGGACCGCAGGTTTTAGTCCATGTTTCCACTTACCAGGGTTCCATTTTGGGTACCTATTTTGACCCACAGCCATATAACCCACAGGTGGGGCGATGATTCCTGTAAAACCTGGGTATGGGTCAACATCAAGTCAGTGCAGAGTCCACAGGCTTTGGTCCTTATTTCCATTTGCCAGGATTCCATTCGGGGCTTACCCGGTTTTTGAGCACCTGTCAAGCAATGTCAAAGTCTGAGGGAGATGAGTTGGAGCAAAAATTCCTGTGTCTCGACTCCGCCAGGTGCCCAGTCTCGAAGTTTCACTGGGAAGCCACTCGTGAGAGTGGCTGAGCTGGTTTTCACGAGAATGCACTGAGCACAAAAGGAATACCCTTGTTTTGTCCGAGCTGTGAAAACCAGGCGCAGTAGGGAGTAGGGCCAGCACCCAGGGTGCTGTGGATGTGTCGGTCCAGAATTTGTGAGCGAACGACACTGGATGTGTCGGTCATCCGCATTTTTTTGTAGATGGCCGCCTTTGCTAATGCTTTGAGCAGGGGTGCATGGCACACGCTCATTGTACTCCATATTTATTGCGATACGCAACCAGTACAATATAGGGGAAGTCTCCGAATCTCGGAGCAGGACAATGCAACAAAAAGGAGGTGCACGGTGCGGGAGCCCGTGAAGAGGACTGGAGCCGCAGTTTTGGCGCTCCGAAAGCCCACTGTTTTGTGGATAACCCAGTTGTCCAGTGGTGCGCGTTTTTTCCCCTTTTTTTGGGAAGGGTTCCCTTCAAACTCGAACGACCAAACAAAAAGGATGCCTTTTTTTTCCCCTGGCCACTGGGCATCTGAGGTAATTTGACTTCTGAAATCGGCCATGAGTGAAAGCCTTGAGCTGAGTGAAACGGCCAGGCCCGCGCCAGTCAAGGAGAGGTGGAGGACGCTGACGCGCTGTTGGATGTGCATTCACGCATGATTCCAGAGTAACATGTGCGGGAGGGACCGATTTGTGCACCCTCTCATGATCAGAGGCCGTGTTTACTACCAGCTTTTGTCAAGTCTTGGATTGTATTGGCACAAGGGTTGCGTGCTGCACAGATGCGAGGGACACGTGCTGCATGTTGCATGAGAACGAGGTTGTGCACACATCCAGTGGCTCCAGGCTTTGAGGAGGAATGAGCACAATGCAAGACACTTGACCATGCCAAACTGCTGCAAGGCTCTACACAGACGGAACACAAGCATTGAGCCATTGAGCTATTGAGCTGTGCGCCTGGGCGCGCATTCGACAGGCCGATGCGTGCAAGATGCCACTTACTTTTGGTGTCTTCTCATGCTGACGAAGACATGCCTTGTTTGTGCGTTTACCGTGCCTTTGCACAGAGATCTGTAGGCGAAATGCGAAGCTTCCGTGCACCAGCTATGTACCAGGACAACATTGTTGTAATGTGTCATGAAACATCTCATCTATGTTCCTTGGGTACATGTTATTCAAGATTTGTTCGGGGTGGAAGCAGCTGTCACTTTTTAGGTCTGGCTACTCCTAATCACAGTATCACTTGACAGCATGAAGGCGGGCTACCAAGCCAGGAAGTAATGGAGTAACGGGAAACATGTGCAATCAATTCGTGCAAGGCGGGCCATGTTTGGCGGCCTTGGGGGCTTCTCGGCACAAGGCCTGGACATTCGCTGGCACCAGGCTCCCAAAGGTTCCGGACACAGCGTGGATTCATCTGAGCCACTTGCTCAAAACCGATTCGGGTAGATGAAGTGGCGTAAGGGACAGTATCGACCGCCTTTCAATTTGGGAGCGGCCGCCTTAGAATTTACATGGCAGCGGGTCAACAATAGGGACCCAAAATGGAAGCTGCGCAAACAGAACCAAGGGCTAAAACTTGCGGTCGTGTGGTTTAATTTTGCCCCATACCCATACCCACATGAGACCATTGTACCAGGTTCTGCTTGTGACTCATTCGCCAGGTCCACAAGGCTACGGTGGCTATGGGGCTGATACATCCAACGAGGCACTCGCGTGCTGCCAGCGACCGGTCCAATCGATGCAACTCACAGACCCCAAGGCACAGTGGACAGTTGCCTGAGGCTTGGATTTAAAGCCATCGTGTGGGGCGGATTGGAACCACGACAATCGAAGCTATCCAGCAAAATCAGAGCCTTCTGGGTTCGGTCGACAGAGATATGGATGTCGGATTTGCCGACATGTCTGAACTGAGTGACTCGAGGATCCAGAAAAATGGTTGTGGGTCCAAACCAATGGGATGCCATTTTGAAGTAGATGACCACCCATTTTAGAACCGAATTTAGTGGTTGGATTGGGATGTTCACTGGGGTTACGGGCTTTGGATTTTGAAAAGCTCATGGCCATACTGTGGATGGACGAAATTCTGCACCACTTTACAACCATGAGAAACCACTGTGTGTTGGTATTTACAGGGGAATCATCATTCTATGGCCAAATGCGTCAAGTGTTTGCTTCTGTGGGTGCCAACTAGGAAGGAGAGACTGGCAGGCAGCCTACGGCGGCGCACCAGCACCTTCACAGGCATCGCTTGGAAATTTCACATGACATGACATGCTTTTTTCGGAGTCTGAGAGTCTGAGAGGGGTTGGCGCTCAACTCTAGCCAATATTTCTGTTTTCCCACTTGGCTGTGGCTCAAAAAACCGGTACCAAAATGGAACCCTGGTAAGTGGAAACAAAGGCCAAAACCTGCGGTCTGCCCCTCCTGTTCAACTTTGAGCCACACCCACTTTGAGATCTTCCAAAGTGCTTGGTTTGGACAGGTTTGGGTGGCATCTCTCCCCTTTTTGCCACCCAGCCTTGAGCCATTGACCTGGCAGGGCCTTGCTGGCTACCTCAGGGACTCAGCACCTCGGCGGGCTTCGGGCGCTGGATGGGCTTCTCCGCGCACGGGACGGGGTGTTTTTTTCTTGACGCCAAAGAGATTTCGATGTGAATCTTGATTGCTGGATTTTGCGGGACGCGATTTCGGGTGAAGCTTGATCGGTTGAAGAACCCTGGGACATCTTTCTGGAGATGTGAGCTGATGCGTCGACTGCCGGGACTGCCTAAGGCACCAGGGGAAAGCAAGGAGCAGGCGCAAGGCTGGGCCATGGGGGGGGGTGCGAAGTAGGGAAGCCTTTGCTGGACACTTTGGCGGAGGTTCATGTCTAGGTCCCCCAGTAGTGCCCTTTTATCCTTTTTTGGGGGAGCTACTAAATTAGACTACAGAAAAAAGGGTACCCTTATTCTAACCTCTCTACTGGAGGACCTAGATGTCCACCAACCACTTTGCAGATGGTTCACTCTTGAACCTTCACATCCAATTCAGGGAGATGAGCACCAAGAGCACACACAGCGACACTCAAATTTGCCGTTTGGCTGTGGCTCAACAAACCGGTACCAAAATGGAACCCTGGTAAGTGGAAACATGGAACAAACACCTGCGTAATCCCTCCCGTTCAATGTTGAGCCACACCCAATTTGGGCTTGGGGAATTTTGGGGGAACGCTTAAGCAAGGTCATGCTCACAGTTGGTCGACTTGCCGTCCAGCTGCCATTTGTGCCATTGAGGTGGTGCCAAGGCTGCAGCGCGATCCTCAGGTCTTGTCAGCGTCTCACAAAAGGACGAGTATCTGGGTCCGATGGAGCAAATCGTCAGTCATGACCCTAAGTATTGCCATAGGTGGACTTCAGGAGCATTGATGAAGGACCAATGCTTGTCTGGAACAACTGCTTTCTCCCTATGTGGGGTTTAAACCCCTCTTTGGTGATTTTGAAAGGGAACCAACAGGAAACCACCCACCTGGAGTGGTCCCCAATCTTGAGAAACTCCCATGTACCGATCCGACTTGGTACATTGTGGTTGGATGTCAGCGGGCCACCGAGAAGTGCGGGACTAGGCCCATACGCTGATGCCGGTGACCATCCGCATGCTGCTCGATGGGGCCAGGCACCCTAGAGCTCGACGCAGTGCTTGCGGTGCCGCTGGCTCACCGTGCCTTTATTCAATGGTAGGCCTCTGAGTCTTTGAAACGTATGTTGATCAGCTTCTCGAATCACCACTATCTCGCACAACCCGTCGGCAGACATCTGAGAAGCCATTGTGGATTTCTCCGCACTCGCACACCCAAGCCTTTGTTTCATGAAGGCAGGGGTGAACATGTCTAGCATTCGGCATGGATCGGCCTCAGTCAGAAAGTTGACTGTATGGAACAACTGCCTTAAAGTTAGTATCCCCCCCCGTCAAAATGGAATTGGGGCGGGGGGTGACCCCTGGAGTTCATTCCATTTTTGGTTCCTTCCCTTTTATGGGGAAGACTAGGATGGCATTGGGCACCCACCACCCCCCTCATGGTAGGGATGCCACCCTCCTCATGGTAGGGATGTCGTCATGAAAGTGTGGGACGGAAGAGGAGTCCAGAAACTCCGTATCGACTTGCCCGCGGGCAAGCGGCTTTCAGTTAAGGCAGTCACACCTCCAAGCAGTGAGATTGACTGATGGATGGATGGATGGATACAAGCTGCACAACAGGTTTACTTGCTCAGCAGGTAATAAGAAATGGAACTTATACGCCGTCCTTTGTGGTTTTTCCTGACGGGAATCCCCAGGTTCAGTACAGCAAATAAGCGAAGCCCCGAAGCGGCATTTGCGCATGACATGCAATGCACTGAATGGTGGTGGGCTGGGTACGTAGCCATTTTGGCTCAAGCCCATGCCCACCACTTTTGCGAGTTTCGGCCATGTGGCTGTTGGTGCTCCTCGCGCTTAGCCTGGAGTTCCTTCATGGTTTTCCCTGCCGAGGCCGAAGCTATGGCGATGACCCGGCTTTCGGATCTCCGGGCCTTTTACCGCGTTGCGCCGGAGGTTTGGGCGGCGGTGGTTTCAACACTGGGCGACCCGGCGGAGGACTTGCGCCCTTTTGCAGCGGTACCACCAGCTGCATTGGCCATGGCTTGCGAGACGGCCGATGTCCAGGGGGCCGCGATGACGGCCATCCAGGCTTCGCAGGTGGGGCTTACCTACAGGTTGGCGAGGAGGATCTGTCATGTAAGAGCCGGAGGCAGTTGGGGTTTGTGGGAGGACCCGAACCCTTGGGAATCTGCGCTGACTCCGACAGGGACAAGTTCGGGAACCCCCGGAACAACGAGACTGGAGCCAAAGATGAAGATGACCCACGTCTTAGATCAGGCGGACGAGACCGAATTCATGGTCGAGCCGGAGGAGACGAGGGCGAAATGGGTCACGCAGTACGTCTCCTTAACAGGAGGCCTGCCACCGGAGGAGGAGGAACCATCAATGGAGCAGCTGTCAGCCCTGAGTCGAAGAGTCTTTTCGCTCAAGGGAGCACCTTATGCGGACTTCTCGGTGTGGGTTCCCTACGGCAAGAAGGCTTTGCGGACAGCTCGGTTCAGGTCTTATGTAGCGACGCTGGAGGGCTTCGTGACGAAGGAACTGGCTGGACCCACCAATTTCGAGATGTGGCAGGCCAGCTATCGGGTGTACCGCACGGCCATGGTGATGCTGAACATCACCCCGCTGGCGCACCTCAATGCCTACGAGACTCACATAGAGAAGATGGTGCGCTTCTACCCGGGCTGCTGGCACCTCATTGTGCAAGCGGACGACAGAGCAAGGTCGGAGCACCTCACCCGTCTGAAGCTGAGGGTCACCGTGGGCAGGAGCCTGGGTTTGGATCAGCCCAAGCACTACAGCGACGACAACCCGTGGCAGACCCTCTTCAGGGTGCTCATCGACGACGACAGGTACTGGTCAGACCAGGTCTACACCCCGGCCACTGCATGGTTAGCCCAGGGAGGTCGGGGAGTACCAGTCTCCCCAGCAGAACAAACGGCAAGACCCCCGTCGACCCGGAACGCGGAGCAGTCAGGTGGAGGCTCTTCATCACGGACCATCTCCG